GGCCCAGCTATTGATGCCGAGCCTAAATATGCCCTGTCTCTTATACACATCTAGATGTGTATAAGAGACAGCTCCAATAGCGTATATTTAAGTTGTTGCAGTTAAAAAGCTCGTAGTCCCACGATGCTGTTGCAGAGACACCTGCTGTGAACTCAAATTCGTATCTTTGGGAACTTGTGTGCCCAATGTGTTCTCGGACTGGGACTGACTCCCGAAGGCCGATGCATTCAAAGCGGCCGGCCCAGGTGGAGGTGTCCTTCCACCCGGACTGTGTGTGTGTGCGTGCCAGGTTGTGCCAACGTTTTGAGAAGTGCTCACCCGCGGACCCTCACCATGCACATCACCACCTCCCGTGGCAGTACTCCCGTATTGGGACTCCGCATAGCCCCAATCGGGTATGCATGAAAGTCCCGCCGGATCACTCCCAGCCATGGATGCAGATGAAAACGACAAGACGCACAGAGGTCGCTAAAAATGGCAAGTCGGCAAGAATACGGGACGATAACGCAAGGACGACACGTGATTGGCAAGCACGTAGAAGGCAACTGAATACAACGCAGGGCGGTTTCACGCTCACTAAAGGCAGTGCCACGCAGAGGAAGGCACAGCGATGTAGCGCCCGTCGTACATCACAGCCGTGCGTCGAAAACGAGCCGTCATCCTCAGGCCGCCGTCAGACGTCACTGCGGGGCACCGCCCTTGGCCTACCGTCTTCCCCCGAATACAACGGATGGTCAGTATAACTGTATTTGAGGAATCTTTCAGTCTAGATACAGCTATAATGACTGTACGCTGTATTGGGGGAAGAAGGTGGGCGTCGGTCTACTAACCCCAAAAACGGACAGTGAACCATCCCCATGGACATGGGAAAATACATCGTCTACTGGAGGCGCACCCCAGAGAGTATCCCAGCGAGCAGTGAAGGTAGGCTAAGGGCCTCGCTGCAGTACTCTCGAAATGTGCAAAACGAGAGTGAATCTTACGCTAGAATATGGAAAGATACACGACCAATATTTGTGTCTTTTGTGCATGTCGAGAGTAGTGCAGCGAGGCCCTAACTGTTTTCACATGGCAAGGCCAAAGGAGGGAAGCCAGCCTCCACTGCGGGGCTAAGAGGTGGACCCCACTGCTTTGCGGCAAAGCTTTGGAAGACGATTTGTGAAACCCCACTGCTTTGCGACAAAGGTTTGGAAAACGCTCAGATATGACGTGGCAGACGTTTTCACTCAGTTTTGTTTTGCCCGTTCCGTGCGGTTCGGCCATTCTGAGGGAGTAGGGGAGGGGCACCTCCCTCGGTTTGGCCATCCCATGTGGAAAGGAGAGCCAGGGATTGGGTGAGAACCGAGACAAGCCGACGTGAAATTTCCATATAGGGAAAGTTTTCCCTATCCGGTAACCGGCACCAACGGAACTGCCGAAAATTTGTGCTGCAGTGGGGTCTGCTTTTCTCTTTCCCACCTCCGGGGCCTACGATTTGGGTTTGGCGGAAGCTTTCCAGGCGGAAAGCTTCCGCCAGGCAGTGGGGTCCACCTATAACCTTTGTCACGTGGACGACGAAAGAGACCGCATACACAAAATTGGCGGTGTACTGCAACATCTCAACGGATACCCCGACTCGAAGTCCCGACTCCAGTAAAACCGGCAGGTATAACGGAAAGATTGTAACTGCCAGCGATTTTCTTTTTCTTTTGTAGTACGGCAAGGCGTTTGCGCAACGCCTCAAAGTCTTGAAAATGCCCCCCCACAAAAAATGTCTGGAAATCCAGACGAACTCGAATGTTTACTATCAAAATCCAGTAGCAGCCTCGTCATTGGTCGGCGCTTTCTCATCCGCAAGACAACACACTGCGGTAGGCCGGCCCGTAGATGCGAAGTGAGATGTGCGGTTCCGGTCTGTCACCCCCCTCCGCACGTAATCGAAAACGTCAACCCCGTCGTAGAATACTTCGCTAGTGGGTCCAGGCCCCTGATCCGTGATCCATCGGTCCAGGTTAATTAGTATAGTAGTTTTTTATCTTGCGAATACGTTTACAATGTGCATGGGACTGGTGGTGCAGCAGATATTGATGTTGCTGAGGACTGACATTGCGATCTTAGACAGAGTTTGAACAGATCCTAGGGAATCCAGAAAGTTGCGGACATCCCATGAACATAGGGGCTCGTTAGACATTCCTCGGGCGCCCAAATTTCCCGAGGAAATGATCGTTCCACCTATCCTCGGGGACGATTCCCAAAAATGAGATGTGAAAACATTTCCTCAGGGCGTCCTCGGGCTACAGCCATTTGGCTGCATTCCCCGAGGAACCTCGCGAGGTCCCTCGGCGAAAATCGGGACGGCGGCAGCCTTCGTCGACATGAAAATTGTGGAGGCTGGTACAATGGTGGTCCTACCGGGCCTTGGACGGACATTCATGGGTGGCAACATTCGGCAGGGATGGAAATGACGGCAATGGTAAGTTTGGGGGGGCGGTTGACCTCCGTGAACGTTTGGGGGCGTCCCCAGTCCCTCAGCCATGCCGGCGGGAAACGGAAAGGGATCCAACGGTCGGCCATTTCGAATATTCCAGCGGAGAAGCGGTGTCGATCTGCAATGTAAATCGGCAGAGGACGTGTGCAGTCGTCAGTTGTCGTCTGCTGTTTGCCGCCGTTTGGTTTCCCGTTTGGGTGGGGTGCGCCGTCATCATTTGTGCCATGCACGAGGGGGGTTGGCGTTCATGGCCGACGTGTTCCGAAAGCTGCCGCTGCTCCTCCTTGTCGTCATTCTGCTTCTTGTTGTCATCTTCCTCCACGTGTGCAGCCTGGGGAGGGTGCCTGGACGCACTCTTAAGAGACCCGGAATTCAAATTTTGAATTTCATGCGCGCACGCGCGTTTTTCCTATTTTCACGAGCGCGCCGCAGCCATTTCAATTTTTCGGCGGCCCGGAGGTGGACCACGACCGTGCACCTGGACAACACACGATGGACCACCGTCCACTGCCTCGTCCCGCGGCTGCGTATCCGATTATACACATCCCCGCGGCCCATCCTCGGAGCGTTCCTCGGAGATCGTTCCAAGGGACGAGTGCAACGGAAGCGGGAAAATCCTCCCTCGCGCCCCAAGGACGCCCCAAGGAGTTCTAACGAGCCCCATAGGGTCTCGCTGCACTACTCTCCACTCTCCGAAATCGAACAGTTTTTCACCGCTGCACTAACTATCCGAAAAACCTTTGAAACGAACTCGGATAGCTGTTAGAAACCACCATCCAAGTGCACTCTCCACGGTCGGAGAGTGCCCAGCCTGCAGCCTCCGTTTTTCTGATGGACCTCAGCACGACTCACCTAGATGCTCCGAATTCGGAGAGTGTGCCTGGAGTCGGGGCGGACAAAATGCAGATGAAGCCAAGTAGCCCAATGCTGTCACCTCGTCTGCTAGTGTTCTCACGAATTGGAGTATGGGACCACGGATAGTAAGTGCAGCGAACATTTTGACCACTGACATTGCGATCTTAGACAGAGTTTGAACAGATCCTAGGGAATCCAGAGAGTAGCAGAGATCCCATGAACATATTGACAAAACAAATGTAATGAATAAGAATTTCATAAATAATCAATAGAAAAGTTCTCGGAAAAGGGAGATCTTCGAGCGAACATTTGGCCTGAAAGGCCCCAGCACCTCCATCCCAACCCAAGGTTCTCCATCCTTCATGCAGAAGTTGTAATGAAATGAGGATGAAATGTAACTTTTTTGCAGATCGTGGTGGTTGGAGCGCATGCTGAGGCGAAGTGCGGAGGCTGCTGCCTGAACAGAGAAGACCCCTGCTGCCTCCTATGTTAGTGGCCTGATGGGAGGTGTTGAGATGATCTCTCAATTTGGAGCTGGTCGGAACCTGGAGAAGGAGAAAGGCAGGATGACTTGGCTGCTGCATCGCTGGTTGGAGGGCAATTCAGTAGGTCGTACTCTTAGCGACTGCTGCGATCTTGATGTGATAGCTTTTCTTGATGGTTTCTGGTTCCCGGACTTGCGGAAGCGGTCCCGCACTCGTGATCGTCATGGGCAGCCCTTTGCTGCTGTTAGCACTGTGGAGGGCAGCATCAGCTGTCTTCGGTCCTGCTTCAGGTTACTGGGTCGAGAGGATGACCAGAATCCTTGTGACTCAACGAAAGTAAAGATGTACTGCAAGGCTTATCAGAACTATGCCCTCAGCTTGGGCATTCATGAGGATCAGGTTGTTCCGATGCCGAGAGAGAAGATGACCTTGCTGCGCAATGTTATACAGCGAAAAATGAGCACTCAAAAGGAATGGCAGTATGCTGCGTCGCTGCGGGATCTCTGTCTTATGACATATCTGTGGGAGAGTTGGCAGCGAGGTGGGGAAGGGCTGAGGCTGCGGGATGCGGAGATAGACGAGCAAGCCAGGCTGGTTGAACCGGGGCATACGAAGACGCAACGTCGAGGAAAGTCGGTGATCATCCAATTAGCGGAGCCGAGAGGGGAAGCTGGCACCTTTCTAGAGTTGTATGAGGAGCTGCGGGGTTGTTATTCCCGACTTGGAGTAGAAGAGGAAGGGGCCGTCTTTCTGAGTAACAAGACAAAAAGGAAGTTGACATTGAGTGTGCTTAACAA